TAATTTCAGGGTCTAGAGAGGGAGGGCATAGAAACTGATGACAAATCTGACACTAATTCTGCAGTGCATTAAAAAAAGGATTCTATCTGTAGTGCAGAAAGATTACCGATAAGACACAGCAGCTGTCAAAATAAACGATCTGGGCTGACAGTGGGAAGCATACTTGTGCTCAGACTCCTGCTATCTCAGGGAACACAGAGAGCTGCACACGGCATTGTTTCTTCTTAGTGAGCAGAAATACATTATCTTGGGAATTACAGCTAACATAGTATTAATTCACCTTGTCTGGAATGCTGCAGAAATCAAATACTGGATCAAATAGAACAAAGGCCACATCTGGCTGTGTGAGTCATTTTCGTGGTGGTTTCTTTCTCAAATCCTGAGGTTATGTCCTCTGCTTTCTCCAGCTGGTGCTCCTGCTCCTCAGCATTGCGTTACATTTATTAAGCTCTCTAGGCTAAGACAGAACAGTGTTCACGGATCCTGTTCCACAGTTCATGTGGTACTTCTTTATGCTGATGCTAATTGCCCCATCGTTTCTAGCTCTTCATCTGAGAGACTATGAAGACATCATTCCCTCAGTTGAGATCTACTCTTTGTTGGCCCTCTGTGCTTGTGCAAGTAGAGCTTTTGGTACCTGTTCAAAAGCTTTCATTAAACTGGAATCTTTGGAGACACTCACTGTAGAACAGAAGCAGCAGTATGAAGACCTGGCTCTGGAAATCTTCACCAAACACACACCAAAGGACAACAGGAAGTCTGAGTTGAACAGCCTTCTTGAAGGGTATGTGGTATAATTAGATACCATTTACCTGATTAGAAGCTTGAATATAGTAAAACACTAAGTTTCAAAGGAGTTTATGATAATATTAAATTGATTTTATTATCCTATTAGTCTAATCACACAAAGTCTAATTGTTTTCTTTCTTATTTTTACAGTGGAGAAGGAAAGCTGCCAACATGCATTGCCACTGGAAGCCCAATCATCGAGTATCAATTCTGGGTGTGCAAAGTCTGCAAACACTATGTTCTGGCTCAGGAGATCAGTAATTACAACTTCTGTCCTTTATGCCACAGTTCAGTAGAATAAAAAAAGGAAAGAACTGTCTTAATTGTAAATTATATGAAGCACATGTACTTATCTGTACCTGTCTATGTAATAATGCTTGATTTCCTTAGGTTTCATATGAAAATCAACTATAATCTTGTAGTTGTATTTTTTGTATAAAATATATATTAAAAGATAAAGAGAGGGCTAGAATGTAGCTCAGTGGTAGAGTGCTTTCCAAGCATGTACAAGGTTCTGGGTCCATTGTCAGTACTGAAAAAATAAAAATAAAAAAAAAAAGACTTGTACATTACAGTGAAACTATGAGATAATCTGACTAATTGTCACATAAGACTTACAGATGTGAAATTTATTTTTTTTTGTAGTTCCTGTCTGTCCATTTCTCATTTATATAGCTTATAGTTTGTGTCAAGTTACCACAGTAAGATTTTCAACCAGAAATATTTTTCTCATCTTGTCAGTGTTACTAGTTCATTAGAGACCCTCGAGAGGTGGGTAGGGATGGAGAAGGCAAGGGGGGGGACGGACTTGAAGCAGAGAGTTGATATAACCTGTAGTGCACCGAGGTTAGGCAACTGTTGTATGAAGTGAGCTCTATTTTTATTTAAGGCTGAAACGCTTCTATATTTTATTTTCGTAAATGAGGAGATGGCATTTTAAGATATTTTATTATGCAAGGTTTTAAAAAATATATCCTCATTCAAAAGGACATATTTGTTACCCATTTTTCTTATAATAAACATGAGTTAACTGATTTTGAGTAATGCTGTTATTACTTATCATCAACCTTGCCCTCAGTTAGGCTTTGCTCAAAGTACTCTGGTAGCCTAGGTGCTGAGCTGTGGGACCAGCAGGTAACACCCTGCATGTGAGCAGTATCCTGAACAAGCACTGCTGACCTGCTGTCATCCATGGTACAAAGTTCATTTAAAATGCACTTCAAAATCACCTTTCTGTATTTCCATTTCCAAAGCGCCTACATTTTTATGAGACATCATTTGAATAAATAATAAAACAATTACATTCTTAAAGAAAAAAAGACATGCTTATCTTGTATTTCCTTTTTTTATAGTGTATAGAAAAATGTTATTTGCATTGTCTTTGCTTACACATTTTGGTGGGGACACACACAGACACACAGACTCACAGACAAAAAATATATGTCACATTTGTTAACACATGGGAGAAAAACCTAATGGTCTTATTAGGCAAATAACCAGTGACTGGAAGTGGAATCATAAGAATTGCTCCCTCAGAGATCACATGTAAAGTTCACATTCAGAAACAAGGAAAAGTTGTTACAAAGTAACAGAGTATTAACTTTGTTGACATAGCTCCAAACTCTTTATTTTGGATATCCCAAATGAAAACAGCAATATTATGTTGCCCTCTACTGTCTATGTCTATAACTATTTTCTCAATGTTTTTTAGAAAGTGTTTTAACTATAAAAGTAATGTTCTCATAGTATCAACTTTCAGAAATATGTAAGAATAAAGATGAGAAAGTAAAAATAGTTTTAACCTTTAAAAATAGTTCATTTATATTTTAGTTGAGTTTGAGAAGACAGGTGAAACTGAATAAATGTGTACATTACAAATAAGTGTTTCATAACAAGTACTGTTTGCTCTTAAGATATTTCTCTAACTAAAAACACAACAAGACTAAGGCTTATTTAAATATCTTCTTATATGGTACTCATTAAATTCCTGGTTAGTAAAATTTAGAGAAATTTGGACGTGGGGAGATAGCCGAGCAGGTGAGGTACTTGTCATGCCAGCATGAGGCCTGGGATTTGGGTTCTCAGCACCCACATAAAGACAGACATTAGTAACCTGCCTGTAACCCTAGCATTGAGAGGTCCAGATGGGATCTCAGATGGAATCTTCTGGGCAAGCTGGTTAGCTGGACTAGCAAGCACTGGGGTTCACCATGAGACCCTGTCATAATAAGGTGTAGAGTGGGTGAAACACACACACACGCACACACATCCACACAGGCGCGCACACACGCACATACATGTGCACACACACATGTACTTGCATTCATACAAGCATAAAAAAAGCAGAAGTTAAAAGAGTGAGATGGACCATGTAAATGGTAAGGGCAAGAAAGCATGTATGGTCTCACTAACACAAAGATTTTAATTTTTTCAAGTGCTTTTCTATGTGAATTGAGAAGACCACACAGTTTCCCCCCTTCTCATTCTGCTAATGTGGTAATTTACACTGAGTTATTCTTGTATTTCAGAAGCAATTCCCATTTGGTTATAGCATATAATTCTTTTAATATGCTGCTGCATTTGATATGGTAGTCTTTTGTTATGTGTTCTATTAATGCAGGCTGGAGAGATGGTTGAGCCATTAAAGGCTAGGCTCAAGCCAAAATGTCAAATTTCACATTAATGCCGGTCATAATGGACATTGTCAAGTGTTGCTATCTAAGCACTATTGGCTTTACAGAACAATGTAAGATGTGTTCTTTGCTGATTAACTTTCAGAAAGTTTAAGGACTGGTGTTGATTCTCCCTTAAATGTTTGTAATCACTGGTGTAGCCATCAGATGTAGGGTTTTTCTTTGTCATTAAGAAAATAAGTGTTGAGGCTGGAGAGATGGCTCAGTGGTTAAGAGCCACTCTTCCAGAGGTCCTGAGTTCAAGTCCCGGCACCCACATGGTGGCTCACAACCACCATCTATAATGGGATCTGATGCTCTCTTCTGTCATGCAGGCATACATACAAATAGAGCACTCATGTACATGTCTTTACTAGTTAGAGGTCTGCTAGGATTTTCTAGTTCGTCATGGTTCAGTATTGGTAGGTTCTGTTTCTATTTACTTCTTTATCCATCCTTTACAGAATAAACTGTTCTTCTCCATGATACTAATCATTATTTGACTTTTAACAGATTTTTCCTGCTTGGCTACAAAGTACGAATGACACAAGCTTTGCTCACGATATTAACCCCAGTTTTAAAAATCGTGTGTGCCATGACGTAGACTTAATATATACTTTTAGCAAGGAGCTCCATGTTGAAGATGACAATTACTTTCCAAGTTAATCTTTTTTCTCTGACCTTTATTTTTATAGCCAATCCTACCAAATAAATGCCTTATAATACTTATTTTGTGTCATTGTAACAATGATAGTCTGAGTCACTTATAAATAAATTCATTCACAGTTTGGGGGGCTGGGAAGTCCACATATGCCCAGGTCTTTCCTCACCGTAGCATAGCAAAAGGCATACAAAGAACAGGGTTTGCAGTACTCTCTCTGCCTTTTAAGTGACCGGCACTAGTCCATTCATGACGATGGGGCCTGCCTGTATTAAGCCGCAGTCAGCACATTGTTGCATTCCGATTACACACTAATGAGCTTGGGGAGGGGGACACATGCAAACTACAGCACTCGTTTTTTATAAATTGGAAATTGCTCTACTTAATTACATTCTGCTTTTTATTTTTGGAACTTAATGTTTTAAATATTTAGCGTTTTAATTTACCCAGAATCAGTATATCTTACGTGCTTCCTTTAAAACTGACTCTCCAAAACAAGAAACTGACTTCAGGGTGTCCCACTCCCCCGCATCAGGCAGACTCCTCAAATAAATATGTGTGCATATATCTATATTGCCATATCTCTATCATTTATATCTATTATTTATCTCCGTCATCTATATCATCTATGTATCTAAGATGCATTTATCCTATCTACCTCCCTATCATCTATTTATCATCTATCTACCTATCTATCACCATCATCTATCAATCTGTCTGCCTGTCTAATCTATTATTTATCTAATTATGTATGTATACACATCACGATTTAAATTCTCTTAGCTTCCCGCAAGCTTCACCAGGCACAACTGGTTATCTCGCGATATTATGGGTCCTCACACAGGACAAACATCCTCATTGTGTAGCGGCGCGCTTCGGTTAGCCAATACAGTCCGGTGAGCGGGTGCCTGTGGTTCCGCTTCCACCCGAGCTAGACGGTCATGGCCGGGCCGCCGGGCGGAGAGGGCCGGGCCGCCCTGGAGCTGGCCCAGGCTCGCTTCGACGAGGGGCAGTTATCCGAAGCCCAGGAGCTGTACTCTGCGTTCATTGGCCAGTACGCGAGTCACCGGAGGTAACTATCGCGAGACGGGGGTGGTGCGGCGCAGCCGGGAGTGCGTGGGGTGGTCCCGGCGCGGGAGTGCTTTGCGACGCTGCTGACCCGACCAGCTCCAAAGGGGAGGGAGACACCTTGTTGTCCCCAAAAGCACAGGCGGCCGGAAGCCTCTTTCGGGGACACGGAAGGTGGCCGGCATGCCCGGCCATCCTCAGGGCTTTGCGTTCACGGACGCGAAGGTTCTGTTCAGCACTCACTTAAGTATCGCCACTGCACCCAGCCATCTCCTTAGTGTTTACCAAACTTGACAGCACACGCCCCAAAGTTAAGGATTCTTGTAAGACATCTCTGTAATATCACTTTCTATCAAATTTCTATCCAGCCAGTGACAGAAATTTTATTAGCCAAAAAAATATTGGTTATTTGGATGTTTGGGTTTGAGCAGTTTATCAAGATTCTGACCCCTCTTTATTCCCACTCCGCTTCAAGCCTTGAGAAAACGGGGTTGTAAGTTGAGTTAAGGAGTATATTTTGGGACTGCTGAATTAAGCCAAATATCTGGGATAGTGTGTCAACTAAAATTTTGACACCTAAGGGTCTTGATTGGGTTCATAGTCTCCACCAGTTAAAAGAATTAAAAGGCAGAAATTAAAAGGCAGAAATCTCCAGCCAGGCAGGTAGCAGCAGGGAACGTGCTAATGAAGAAAGGTTTACTAGGGTTATGAGGAAACATTCGGTGGGCACACAGAAAAGACTGTCTACAAAGCAGAGCTGGTTTCCAGAAGCCCCTAAATCCAGTCTCCTGGGGGTATAAGGGCATGAGGGTTGACCAGTTTGAACACAGGGTGGCCCATACAGGTTCTTAGTTTTGGCCTAAACACGTCCTGATCTAGCTTTGAACTTGTGTTAAACACAGCGGGGGAGGGGGTTGGCTACTGGTGGGAGAAAAGTCCTGCCAGGCCCCATTTTTTAGGCTGCCAGGTTTTTGTTTCAGGTCAGCAGGGAAAGGAAGAAGCTGGCCAGCTTGGAAGTTCACCATCTTTATTACCTAGTCATGGCTCCTCTCCTGATCCCAAAGGGAGTCTTAACTCCCAGTGTCTCAGTATTGGTTGTGACTTGATCCTTAAACTTGGAGACTTGATCCAACTCAGATTCGAGAACTGAGAAATTTTCTGTCTGCAGGTTCACACTTCCACCATTAGCACCTGAAGTCTTTTATTCTTTGTGATGTTTCAGGCTCCTTATCTTCTATGTTGATGCCTGGATGTGTAGCATTAGGTACTTCAAGCTTTGCCTTTACTGTGTAATGTGTGGAGTGAACACAAATCAGGGAATTCAGTTGACAGTGTGTCAACTGAAACATTACCTTTTTTTTTCTTTCTTTTGTTTTCTTTCTCCTTCCTTCCTTCCTTTCTTTTTCTTTCTTCTGTCTTTCCCTCTTTTTCTCTCTTCCCCTCCCCTCCCCTCAGCTCTACCCCCACTTCCCTTTTCCCTTTTTTTTTTTTCTTTTAAATCACCAAGTCCCATTTTTGTGCTGCTCATTTATTCACAGATGTGGGACTATCCAGGAGTTTGGCCAACCTACTAGGGGCATACCCTTAAAAGACAAGTGAGCCTCCCTCTCTCAGGTGCTCTTACCTGTTCTAATTCCTCTGGGATAGGGGTTGTGAGCCCCTCACCCTCCTTGCTAGGGTGCTGAGCAGGATCTTTTGCAGGCAACTGAAGCTGGGAGCTCATGAGTGCAATATTCTGCAGTGCCCAGAAGACACCATTTCACTGTTTGTATCTCTACCCCAGACCTCCCAGTTTTCCTGCACTCTCTTCCCCATCCCCTGAGTCTTGAGGGTGGGAGAGGGGTGTTGATGTAGGCATCCCCTTTGTGGCTGCTCACTCTGCTGATGCTTTGTTAACAGAAATTTCTGCAGAGTTGCTAGAATGATGTTGCCATCTTCTCGTGTCCACCACCACTCTTGAGAAAAAGGCTGGCAAACACAGGAGACTTCATTTCTGTTCTTGTTTAAGGCTCTAATGGCCTTATTTAGGAAGTTTCAGAAACAATCAGCAACACGTATGTAGATGCTACAGGGGCTTATTATTCTTTCTCTTTTGCACGTCTCAGCTCAAGAACCTGTGTTCACCACGGCAAGTTAATCTCTGCCCTTTATAGGTTGGAAGACCTGCCGGGCTTAGCTGAAAGTTCAGCACTCCCATGCTCTAGTCTCAGCATTACTGTATCCCTGGCACCTTTCTCTGGCTAGTTCCTCATCTGTAAAATGAGCCTTCAGAGTTCAAAACTTGAAGTCTATCAGTTCCACTTTTCCCCTTAAATGTATCTTTTGGAAGTTTAAATTTTATTTTTTAAACATTGGGTCACTGAATAATTTTAAAGTAGTCCTTGCAAGCTTTGATTGCTTTTCTCTCTGGTTTGCTTTTTTTTTTTTTTTTTTTTAAATATCAAAGGTATAGCTTTTCCCATAATCTAATTTTTCAAGTATTTATCTTGTCCAGATTTAGCAAATGCTAAGAATTGTATTTAGATTTAGATATCTTGGTTAAATGCAGTACAGAAAAATACTGTCACGGGGCTAAGTGGGTAAAGGTCCTTGTTACACAAGCCTGTATGACCTCAGTTCAATCCCTTGAATGCATGTAAAACTGGAAGGAGAGACCCACTCTGCAAGCTGTCCTCTGACCCCTTCAGGCATGTCGTGGCGTGTGTCCTTCCACCTTGCACAACACAATAAATAAAAATTCAAAAAGAAATTAAAAACGTACAAATATCAAAACTTTAACAATGAAAGTAAATGTTAAATATGAGCCCATCTTTCTCTGTTTAAAAATTTTTTTAGAGTGGTTGTACCAGTTTACATTCCCACCAGCAGTGGAGAAGGGTTCCCCTTTCTCCACAACCTCTCCAGCCATACCACTCCTAGGCATATACCCAAAAGAGGCTCAAGTACACAAAAAGGACATTTGCTCAACCATGTTTGTAGCAGCTTTATTTGTAATAGCCAGAAGCTGGAAACAACCCAGATGCCCCTCAACTGAAGAATGGATGCAGAAACTGTGGTACATCTATACAATGGAGTATTACTCAGCAATGAAAAATAAGGAAATCATGAAATTTGCAGGTAAATGGTGGGACCTGGAAAGGATCATCCTGAGTGAGTTGACCCAGAAGCAAAAAGACACTCACGGTATATACTCACTCATATAAACATACAATATAGAATAAACCCACTAAAAGCTGTACATCTAAACAAACTAAGCAAAAGAGAGGACCCTAACTAAAATGTTCAATCCCCATCCTGAAAGGCAAAGAGGATGTACATCAGAAGAAAACGAAAATAGGAAACAACCTCGGAACCCGCTACAGAGGGCCTCTGAAAGCCAGAAGAAAACAGGAAACAACCTTGAAACCTGCCACAGAGGGCCTCTGAAAGCTTCTGCAGTATAGACTGTCAAAGCAGATGCTGAGCCTGATGGCCAACTGATGGGCAGAGTGAATGGAATTTTATGTAAGAAGTGGGAAATAGTAAGAGCTGGAGGGAACGGGAACTCCACAAGCAGAGCAACAGAACAAGATAATTTGAACACAGGGAACTTCCCAGAGACTCATACTCCAACCAAGGACTATTTGTGGAGATGACCTGGAACCCCTGCACAGGTGTAGCCCATGGCAGTTCAGTGTCCAAGTGGGTTCCATAGTAATGGGAAGAGGGACTGCCTCTGACATAATCTGATTGGCCTGCTCGTTGATCACTTCCCCCTGAGGGGGGAGCAGCCTTACCAGGCCACGGTAGAGGACAATGCAGCCACTTTTGATGAGAACTGATAGACTAAGATCAGAAAGAAGGAGAGGAGGACCTCCCCTATCAGTGGACTTGGGGAGTGGCATGCATGCAGAAAGGGGAGGGAGGGTGGGACCGGCAGGGGAGGAGGGAGGGGCTCATGGGGGGATACAAAATGAATAAAGTGTAATTAATAAAAAAAATAAAAGATTTAAAAAAATTTTTTTAAAAATAAAAATTAGGGTGTTTTGCCTAGATGTATGTCTGCGTACCAGATGCATGCAGTCCCACAGAGGCCAGGGGAGGACATTAGATTCTCTTTAACTGGAGTTAAAGACGGTTGTGAACTACCATGTGGTGCTAGGAATTGAACCTGGGTCCTTTGGAAGAGCAACAATTGCTCTTAACTGTTGAGCCATCTCTCCAGCCCTTGCCAGTGTCTTTAAGATTGCAAACAAAATATCTGCTTTTATGAAAAGTGGTATTTTAGAATTTGTCTTAATGAAATCTGACATTCTATGGTTATCTGAGGATAAGAATTTGTAACAAAGCTTTGAAACCTCAAATGAATAATGAAATTTTTACTGAAGTCCTGAGGTGGCATTTTCTTAAGTCTCAGGGCAGCAGTTCAGCCAGTGTCCTAACAGACAGAAGACATTCACCCTCCTGTCCTTGAGCTTTAACAGTGGTGGTAGTGGCTTTCAGGTGTCCTTGTGTCTGTCTTTCTCAGTCGGAGCTGACAAAGCAGAAAACGTGTAGTTATGATAGTTTCTCCCTAATGTTACAAAATTAAACTGCAGGAGCATGTGGTTGTGTTGGGGACTTTGATCCCAGCACCCAGGAGGCAGAGGCCAGCCTGTTCAACGGTGAGTTCCAGGCCAGCCAATCCTCTGTAATGAGATCCTGCCTCTGAACACCAGAACAATCAAATAAACCCTTCCGACTCCCCTCCCCCACAAAAAAGTGCAAGGACCCTCCACATGCTGCAGTGGTCACGGACCTTGTCTGAGTTCTCCAGGAGTCATATGGCAAGAGTAACAGCTGATGAGTTAGCGATGTGGCTCCTCAAGCTGTAGGTACTTGCTGTGCCAACCTGGCAACTGAGTTCGATTCCTGGAGCCCAATTAAAGGTGAAAAGAGAGAAATGAGGTTACGGAGTTTTAACCAAACTCCATATACCTGTTGTGGCATGTGTGCCCATACATACATACAATAATACATTTTTTTGAAAAGATAAGTGATTGCTGTTACCAATATTTTCTGAGGACTATGCTTTCTGTAGTGGGGTATAACAAAAGACAGGATGACTGTAGTTCCTCTGTTTGATTCAAACTTGACCATCACTTTGGGGGAAAAGAGATGGGAAGGAAGAAGTAAGACAGTAATAACCCCTCTCCCTCTGGCGCCGAGCAGTGGAGATAATTTGTGGCAGGCAGTGAGTGAGCGGGAGGAGGCTTTGACCTGGTGGTAGCTCCCAGCTGCTGGGTGTCTGGCCGCTCACAGGTAGGGCAGAACTGTGGAATATTACACCTGTGGTTTACCACTGCTTAACTCCTGTTCCCCCACCAGTGGGAAATGATTTCAGATCTCGTGGTTTGAAGACCACCTACATTTTAGAGCAGATTAATAAGCAAGTGTGACGCAGTGTGACACTCCAGCAGCACACGGGTACCTGGGCCGGCTTTCCTTGCTCAGCATGCATTTCTTCCCTCCAGGGTGGGCTCTGAAAACATCCCGCAATCATTTCAGAATTCAGCAAAACATGTTGGCAGTGAGCAGGGGCTTTGAAGACTTTAGATTCCATTGCTCTGGAGTCCCATGAAAGTCACCGATGTCCGTAAACAGAACTTGATTTCAGTTTTCACGTGCTGTGTTTCTTCAGCTTGGCGTTTCAGCTTCCACACAGTGTGTTGTAGCTGTGGTGTTTGATGGTGCCCCAAAGAGCATGGAAGTGGAAGTGGGGGGGAGTTTAACAATGTGCTTTTAATGGGAACTTTTTGTTTAAAGCAAATGCAGCCCTGAGGATTTGGCCACCGCATATAACAACAGGGGGCAAACCAAGTACTTCAGCGTTGATTTTTATGAAGCCATGGACGACTACACATCTGCCATAGAAATCCTGCCCAACTTTGAAGTTCCGTATTACAACAGAGGCTTGATACGCTATAGGTTGGGTAAGGTGTTTCTTTTCTTTTCTTTTTTTTTAACTCTTAATTTTTTGCTTTCCTTGTGGACTGTATTTGGTTACTTCGGAGCTGTTGTGAAGGAATCAAGCTTGACAGTTACATGAAATTTAGGTTTAGAGCTAAGGAACAAGGGACGTGTTCCTCAGTGCTTTTTAGGCATTTGCTAGGCATTACAGAAAACCGTGGAATGCTGCAGTGGGATTGGGACTTGGCCACAGGAGCAAGGATGACCCCATTACTGTGTGCCTACGCAGTCCCAGCCCCAAAATGAGGGTAATGCTGATGGGCGCCTGTGACGCCTTCTAGTTGAAAAGGCAGGAGACATGCAAGTGAAGTTTTTAGACGCTGGGACTGAAGGGTCTGTGGATACTGTTTCTCTCTTAAAATGAAAAAGAAAAATCTGTTTCTCAGTTTTACTACAGCTATGTAAAAGGACTCATAGAATTTTGTTGAACTTTTATGATGATTTGAATGTTGCCTGCCTATTAAATCTACTTAAAAAAATCACTAATTTAACCTGTTTTTCCTCTTTCTATTGTTGGAGATTGAACGCAGGGCCTCACGTATGTTAGCTGAGAGTTAATGCACTCTGTTCTCCATCATTGATTTAGATTCACTTATTTCACAAGGGCACACGTTATTGTGCTAGACTATCTTAGATGACTTGGGAGAAGCAGCTTCCTTTTAGAGGTGTTTTTGAAAGCTCATAGATGAAAATATGTATATTCAAATGTCACTGTACAGTTATTTAGATACTCAACTTTTCCCCCCCATCTCTGGGATTCTGCTACAGGGTATTTTGATGAAGCTTTGGAAGATTTCAAGAAAGCATTAGACCTGAATCCTGGATTTCAAGATGCTGTTTTGAGCTTAAAACAGACTATTTTAGACAAAGAAGAAAAGCAAAGAAGAAATGCTGAAAAAAGTTACTGAAACTTTTAGCTTATTGAGATTTTAACTCATGATCCTTAAATCTGCATGTGTTTGGCTCTAAGATAGGCACAAATGTATTTTCAGTATATGTGAGAGAGTGTATTTTAGAAGTGAAAGTAAAATACTGTGTTTATTAATTTCAACAGACCATGTTGGGTAGATCTTTTCATAGAGTAAATAAATAATACCAATGTATAAATGTATATTATTACTGCAAAATACTTAAATAAATGTGTATTATTTTTAGTAAAGGTTTTACTTTTATCAAATATTTTTATTCCCAACTCTTAATTTTTTCCCTACCTATAGAAAAGTTGCTGATAAATACAGTCAAGCCATAAACTCTTTAAAGAGTTAACACATCACATTTGCTTTTTCTGCATACTTAAAACACAGACTTTCCACTCTAAAGTCAAAGGCAGGAGTATTGCTGGGATATGAGGCCAGCCTAGGCTATTGAGACCCTCGAACAAAACCCAACAAAATAAAACAAGACCCAGACTTTTTTTTTGCTGCTTTGCCTGAGGATGGGATACTGATGTCTCAGTGCTTCCCTCCTAAACATTTCCGTTTGCATCTTCCTAAAGACACTCTCCATAGCCACACGCCGCCATGACACCTAATAAAAACAATACTATAACATGCTCCATATCCAGCCTGTGTTCACATTTCCCCTGTGACTTCAGATAATTGCATCATGTTCTCATGTCTCAGTATTCTTTCCCTCTGGGGTCATCTGCTCATTTGCTCCTCACAACACTTTGAGAACTCACTCACTTTACATATGGTAATAGGCTGAGAGACAGGACCCTTGGGCTTAAAAGTAAGCACCCATCCTATGGGAGAACAGTTGGAAACAATTGATCCTAAACTTGATCTTTTTTTTCTAAAAAAAAAAAAAAATCACTAAAGAAATAGGCTACGATTTAAGTATTGATTATAGTTTCTGTCCCTGGATGACGGCTGTAATGACTGATGACCTCAGTATTTCTCAAATCCTTAGTATAAGCCAAATCCTGTTCAAAGTCTTCATGAAATGATGTGGGATAGAGAGGGAGTGACAAACTGACAAAAGCACATTAATGTAAAGCTTAAAAATTCTGTTTTGAGTTCTGCCAGCAAACAACAGGGCTCTCACAAACTGGGAAGAACTCCGGGGAAGCGAGCCAAAGCCAGCGTGTCCCATCTACAGTTGTAAGTTTTTATTGCTGGGGTTTGGCATTCTAAGATACAGACCCTCATTTTTAGGTCCCCCAAACTGGTTTACTGCTGCTGTGGGAAAGCTGTTATGGGTGGAAATTTCCCCCACCCATATGAGACAAAGCACATTCGCCTGGCATCCAGAGCCCAACAGAACTGTGGCTTCGGTGGCATCGATGCTATCCCCGTTGCCACCTTTAACTTTGTTTCTTTCTCTTTTGAAGTGATCTCATGAAGCATAGAAAGTAATTGCCCCGTTAGTAATTTGTGAATAATACCTGGCAAAATTCCTGGAGAGTTTGTGCTGCAGGTGAATGAATATGAAGAGGAAATTAAGTTTGATGGCCAGAAAGGAAAAGCCACTCTATTTTTGTAATTGCTCACATTTTCCAATATGATTTATCTCTGTTGGGAAGGACTTTAAAAGAATTTATAATGTTGCATGAAAACAGAAGGTCCCTTTTAAAAAGCCTTTTGTAAAAAAAAAAAAAGCAAACTGTCCTGACCTTGGGAGAGCTAAACACAATTCTACCCAGAGAATCAAGTAATACTTAAACAATTTTATTTTCTCTTGGCTCATACTCTCTCTGTTTTACTCATGGCTGGAATGGATGTAGTATGAAAAAGAAAACTTGTTAAAAAGTTTTCATTTGCTTTGCTAGATTTTATTACTCAAAAGTTTCTTAATTTCTCAGAGAAACAAAATCGCTGACGCTTAGGATCAACCCTTGCCTGGAGCCAGAGAGTTTCCTTTGTCGTTTCCTGGACTTAAACAAATAATACGTTTACTGAATTTTATCTTCTCCAAAACTAGGCTTTGCACATCTTGATCCATGTCTCATCGGCTGAGCGATACCTTGGCTGTTGTTTATTCTCATGGGATTGGTCTGGTTCTCCACATCTTGCTGCTGCTAGTGAAGTGCCCAGACTCTGCTACCCAGTATTCCCCCTCTGCAAAAATAAAGCAGAAAGGACTTGTCGTTCATTATATAAATTGTTTCACAAAGAATAGTAAAATGGAGTAAGTGGACTTAAATTACTTTCGAGTTTGGAGAATTATTCTTAACACTGGTTGAGAAACATGGAGCTGTTTTCCTCTTCCAGGGCTGGAGCTGAATGAGGTCCATGGATTGAGCTGACAAGAGCAAACCGCAGTGAAAGAGCAAGCTGGATTTCCCAGACAGCTCTTCATCATGATCTGATTGTTCGTTTCTGTGTCACCGCTGGGCTTGCCGATGTGCAGGGTTAGCAGCATACCATTTTGTAGCTTGTGAACCTTTCTCATTGGGCATGATACATCTTCTTCCTGCCGCTCTGGGGCAGACCAGTTCAGTGTTTGTACTGCTCTGAGACTCAAAGTCTTAATTCCACGTTTCACACAGTTAACTCTTTTTCTTATGTAATCACTTCAGTTTGTCAACCAAAATGCGTCCAAGTGAAAGCTGTTAACAATGCAGAAAAGTTTCTGTTACTTTACTTGAGTAAGTTATACATTCTCTTCCATCCTACTGTATCTACACCTTCTTTCTTTTTTCTTTTCTTTTCTTTTTTTTTCTTTTAGTTTTTCAAGACAAGGTTTCCCTGTCTAGTCCTGATTGTTCTGGAACTCACTCTGTAGATTAGGCTGGCCTCAAACTCAGAGATCTACCTACTTCTGCCTCCCAATTGCTGGGACTAAAGGTATGCATCACCAAACCTGGTTCACCTACTTTAACGTGTAGAAAAGTAAATCAGTAGAAACAAGTATTTATACCAGTGTAAAAAATCAATTTGCATATAAACTTCTAGAATCAATGTTTACTTTTATTCTGAAGCATTATAAAACAGTTTTATTGGGTTATAGTCTGCGTATTCAACCAGTCCCTTTGAAGTATGTAGTTAGATGGTTTTAATTATATTCATGGTTTCTGCACTATTAAAAAAAAAACCGGGCTTCAATTGGGATATATAATGAATAAATTGTAAAAAAAATTAAAATTAAAAAAAGAAAAAAAACTATTTTCAGGCTTTGGGGGGCAGAACATGGCTCATGGTCATGTGTGCAAAGATTACTTAATCTTCAGAAAAGCGCCTTTAGTTGGATTATAGACTAACCATAATTGTACTTAAAAAATCGCACACATATAAGACAAATCAAAGGTGCTGCCTCTCCTCTTTCTCTCTCTAAATGCACCACATGGCTCAAGTCTCTATAATAGTTTCTGTCTAGACACTTGTGTTGAGGAAATGGGTTATATCTGCCTGGAACAATAATGTGAGATTACTTGGATGGTTTGAGCTAACAGATGATTGTTTTGAAAAAAGTAAGTGTTGAGGCTGGAGAGATGTCTTAGATGTTAAGAGCACTGGCTGCTCTTCCAGAGGACCCTGGTTTAATTCCCAGCACCCACATGGTGGCTCACAATCATCTGTGACTCCAGTACCAGGGGATCCAGTGCTGTCTTCTGGCCTCCTCTGGCACTTCTGCATGTGTGTACAGACATGCACACAGGCAAGGCACCTGTGGTATGTGATATGAGAACCCAGTGAACAGCACTTTGAACTGCTACTGTATAGACCTGGTACAATTTTAATATCCATATACGTTTAGATTTTAGTGTCTTCTATATTTCTAAAAAATGTGCTGGTTAACTAGGGGAAGGACATTCCAGTTTGAAATGGCAGTAGAGCAAAGAGGGGAGAGAGCTTGGCTTCATTTCTCAGCCTCAAAAGATGCTTCCCTCCATGAAGACGAAAGGAGGGTGAGAAACATGGTTATTTTGTTTTCTGTGAAAGACTCTTTCTTAGTAGGATTAAAAAGCAGCTCATGGTTTTCAAAAGGACAGGAGAGTAAGAACACAAAACCCAGGACAAACGACAAATGATGGAAACCTAGAAGTGAAAAACCACAGGGTAGCGCCTCAGACAGTAAAAAAGGAGAGTAGTTGTGTTCTGTAGCCGGTGTTAGTGACGCCTGTGCACGCATATACAACCAAAGGGCAGACACTGTCTTGGTTTTCATAGAGAAGGAAGCCCAGGCCAAGACAGCCAGGAACTTCCCAAGTCCTCACAGGCATCTGGAACTACAGTTAACTATCAATCAATTTTTATTCCCAAACTGGCATCGACTCAAAGTAGGTATGTAGATTTCTTTTGATCCCAATTAAAAAAAAAATTGCTTATAAATGTTTTAGTGCCCATCAAGGTGAGTATCCAAACACTTATTTTTACTTTTTATAACAGAGCGTTATTGCAATGCTAGACTTGCTTGTGGGTCATTTTCACTCCTGATTGAAAACAGACACAGGAGATGGTGAAAAGCAGATTAATATTAAGAGCAAACTCCACTTGGAAACTTGAAAGCCATGGCTGCCAATATGTAAATTTGTGTCTTATGCTAAGAAAAAGCATCCAGCACTTAGAAAGAGCGAGGCAGACGAGTGTGGGCACTTTCAGCAGCGTAGGCAGCCCAGTCCAACAGACCCACCCAAGCACTGTTGCGTTCGGTTGCTTGAGACACAGGCTGAGGTTACGTGAAGTTGTCTGGGTTTGTCCAGAGGACATGCAAATGAATTGTTGGGAGGTAAGATAACCCCAAAGGTTCCAGTTTTATTGCCCTCGAGAGCACCATCCAGTTTTGCATCCAAGCGGGCAGTGTGAGTTTTTCGCCTGAATTCTCTCTGCATTTCCTGCAAATCCTCGGCTCTGCGCTTCCTATCAGCACCTCGGGGGCTCCTTCCTGGATGCCACGATTTCGTTCTGAACTATAGGAGTCATATTTAACTGTAAAATTTTCTCATGCTTAACATTACTGCTAAAAAGCTTACATCTTAGATAGAATTTCTCATTACGCACTCCTGTTATTTCTAGCAGGAACAGGGGATGGACCCAAAGTGTGTCCTTTCCCGTTGTTAATTGTGCAGAGGTTTAACTGTGCACTGGCTGAAGCAATGCACAGGGAACCCCTTCAACTTAACACACATAGAAAAGTAGCCCCAACTACAAAGGAATATCTGCAAGATGCACAGGCTCCCTCATGGCTTCCATTCTCACTTTCTTATAATAGCCACCATTTAGTTCCTATCTTTCAAGATCATTGCCTTTGTACAAACACATGGGCTCTCTCACACATCTGTGATTAAAGAATTACGTTCTATGCATCGCTCAGCAGCTTCACTCAGCACTCATTTTAATATCATGGTCATGTTTACATAGAGCAAAAATTCTAAATCTGTGGGGTCCAGTGACCCTTCCACAGGGGTCACATATCAGATATCCTGCATATCAGATATTTACATTATGATTCACAGCAGTGGCGAAATTACAGGAATGAAGTAGCAGTGAAATAATTTTATGGTTGGGATCATCATAACATGAGGAACTGTATGAAAGGGTCAAAGCATTAGGGAGGTTGAGAACCACTGACATGGAGAAATGTAAACCACCTTACAATGATTGCTGAAGCCTCAGTGCAGGGTAATAATAATTGGATACTGCAGGAGTTGTATATGAAAACTAAGGTGTCACCTACACATGCCCTTCTTTTTTAGACATTTTTTATTCAGTATAACTAGAAACCAAGGCTTCAAAGTACCTGTCTTCCTGCTGGATGTGCTTCTGAAGATTTCTTTATTTCTGGTTGTGTATGGTGGAGCATATCTGTGACTCCAGCTTTAGGAGATGGATCAGGAGTTTAAGATCATCCTTGGCTATATGGTGAGCTCAAGGCTAACCTGGACTACACAAGACCTTCTCTTAAAACAAGAATGACTTTCGGTTCTGTCAGTATCTTAGTGGCAATTCTTTTTACACAGTTTTGGCTGTTTCCATCAAGAATGCTTCTGGATTTTTTTTTTTTTGAACAGGTCTCCACCTGGTGGAATAGATCTTTGAAGGGTTCCAGTGTTGATGAGGCACACACATCCCTCCGTCTAAACTGAGGTCTGAGCCCTGCCCTGTGGCTGGTGGAATACCACTGTCGGTTTCAGCCCTGACTCCCACCTGCTAACCTCTCATGGACCCAGTTTCCAACTTAGCTCCTACCACTGCATGCCAGAATTCATCCCCTGCCTGTGTGGTTCAATTGTTCTGCTTTGCCCTCACCCAAAACATGTTTCCATGCCACAGAGTGGGGTCCTCCATGTGTGATGGTTCCATCCCTGGGCAAGAAGCAGAGCTCACAGAGGCCAGTGCTGCAGAACCTTGTCTCCAGTGTTCCTCTGGGACCCCTCCCCACCTTTCTAGCTTTGTGTGGGGCCTTTCTCTGGCCACCTGCTTAAAATCACAAATCTCACTCACTCCTTCATGCCTTTGTAATCTATTCCTGTATACCGTGTCTTGTTTATCTTCCTGTCTGCTCCTCACTGGCAGGTGAGTTATGGGGATGGCGAGCTGTGTCTTTTTGGTTCACTGCTACATCTGCAGCACCTACAACTGCCATGGGTCCCAACTGTGAGGAGTGGATTAAGGATCCAGTTTTCCTAATCTGCCCATGCACCTGCTGTTTAAGTTTTGTAGGTTCATCCCTGGCAAATAAGGATGGGGAGGACCAGCGCTTAGCCCCTTCTCAGTTGACCTTGTGGGTTGGGCCTAATCTACAGTGAAGTTTTTATTTTAATTAAAGTGACTATTGTAGTTTAATTTAGAAAAAGAAAGCACCCGGAGACAGTTAATCTCAGCAGGGATTTCGTTTTAAAACAACTATACAACAGGTGCCTGTGATTCACTGAAAGCATTATTGGGAAAGGGAGGAAGGATCCTTCCATGTGACCTGATTTGGGGAAGCAAAGAGTACATCTCTAATTAAGGCAGTATAGATGGAGGTGAGTCCTCAGCCAGTGACTGATGTCCTTATGTAACACTACCCCATCCTCCTGGAGTCTTTAGAATAAGGAAGACGTTTGGACAGAGACACAAGGAAGGCTTGTGAGGCCTAACACTTGTGAGGCTTATATGAGTTATGTGCTACAAGCTGAGGGATGTCTGGAACTGCCAGAAACTGAAAGAGGCAAGGAGAGTCCTTTTCTGGAGGCTTTGGAAGAATCAGGACCCTGCCTACACTTTGCTTTGTACATCTGATCTCCAAATTGTGAGAGTATATAAGTTAGTGGTACTTTGTTGTGGCAAGTGTTGGGAAAATATGACTTCATCCAATAGGCATGAGTTTTCAAGGGACAGGCTTTTGGCACAAGTGCTTTTGTGTTCTTGTACCCACAGATGTAGCTCTGTTGAAGAAAAGTTGTACCTTTTGTTGGAGCAGTCTTATAAATAAAATAATTACAAGATAGGAAAGGAGAGAGAGAAGCTGTGTCTCTTTCTTTGATCGTGACCTTCACTGAGGAACCTATGACTAAGCATTGTACAAAACACGCTGGTTTTCTCTGGCTGCCTGCTGAGAAACTCATAACCACCCTGTGTGGTTTCGAGACACTCCACTCTTGGAGAGGCCAAGGCCCTTTCGACTTGAGATTGGAAAAGTGGGAGTCACTTCAGACTGCCAAAAAACAAACCATTACTAGCAAGCCAGGTGAAAAAAATATCCAAGTTGGCTGACAGGCAGGATTGGGAGCTGTCAGTCTGGGGCTCACAGAACAATAATCATTTCCATCACAAAGACCAGCTGCCAGTAGACTCATTGGAACTGG